CTCTCTCTCTCTCTCTCTCTCTCTCTCTCTCTCTCTCTCTCTCTCTCTCTCTCTCTCTCTCTCTCTCTCTCTCTCTCTCTCTCTCTCATCGTCGCGCGCGTGCGGAATAAGTGTGATCACAGTTTTTCTGCCATCCTCTCAAAAATGTCGAGCATCCTCGCGGAATTAGCCATCTCGAATTCCAAGCGCCTCTCTTCGAGCGCAACCATCCGCTCCATCAACTCGTTCCCCCTTCGAGCAACTGCTACTATGCGATCCGTACAATACAACAAAGCCTGGCAAATCTGTCGCGATCCCGACAAGTGCTTTCGAGGTCTGTCATCGTCCCCTTGCTCCCTGGCACGTCGTCGTCGTCCCATCCCAGTCGCGGTGCTGCGGCCGACAGATGCAGACGCACCTGGTCCAGATGCTTCTTGCCCTGCTCCTCCAGCTCCTCCACCTGCTCCACCTGGTCCACCTACTCCGCCTCCTCCAGCTGCTCCAGCTGCTCCAGCTGCTCCAGCTCTTCCAGCTGCTCCAGCTGGTCCAGCTGGTCCAGGTCCTCCTGCGTTCCTTTGCATATTCCTGATGTTGATCTCATAAGCATTTCGAACATACATCTCCTGCCGTCTATGGATTCGCGCTCGCCAGGAGGAAGGAATGATGTTGATTAAATTAAATGGAACCGGTTCAGAATCTTCTCTACCTCTCACAAGTTGAAGGAAGGGGATGGCTTAGGAGTTACTGTAGTGGGTGGTAGGTGGATAAGTAGGTACTACTAGGTGGTAGTAAACGTGAATTTCGACGAGAGGAAAGAACAAAAAGAAAGAGCTGTTTATCAAGTTGAACCATGAGAGGGTCCCTTCTCGTTCAGTGGAGAGTATCTCCGACTTAAAAGTTTGGGTTATGTCACCAGCACAGGGTTCAAGGAGAGGAGAGAACACACACACACACACACACACACACACACACACACACACACACACACACACACACACACACACGCACGCACGCACACACACACAGTCACAGTCACTAAGCAGGAGTCCCCTTCGAGTCTTCGACTCTCAGATACGATGATGAACGGACGCTCAGGAAGAGTACTAGCAGCAAGTGCCAGCAACTCAACTCACACGCTCCCAGCACCCTCCCAGAAAGAAAAGGGGTTTTGAGCTCTCTTTGGGGAGAGACACAAAAAAAAAAAAAAAAAAAAAAAAAAAAAAAAAAAAAAAAAAAACAGTTAACGCGCTCGTAGGGTGTGTGGAATGTTGATGGCGGCATCATGTAGCGCAGTTGTACAACTCGCAATGGGGGAAACATTTCGAATTCGTCCGGACAATGCATCTGGATAGCGGGGCGGTCCAGATGCATTCCAAATCTTGGCGGATGGTGAATGGTTCAACTTGGCCCGTATTAGGGGTTTTCGAGTATCTGGCTGCGAATTCGGCTATCATGATGACCGGATTTATGCGTGTCATCCCTTCGCAGGGTCCATACTACATAATCTTCATTCTCTGTGTCATTCCAATTTTTTATTTATTTATTTATTTATTTTTGAGTCATTCCAATTTTAACGGATGCCCCGAAGGACAGTCCCGTCTATTCTAGGGGGACGTGTTTTTTTTTTTTTTTTTGGGGGGGGGGGGGGGGGGGGGGGCCGGAAWGTTTTTYTGTTTTGATTTTTTGGATATTYTGGGGGGGTATGCCTCTACTGTGCTTTCGTGTACATTCGTGCGCTGGGTGTACACTCGTGTGCTGTGATTGGGCCTCGCTCTACTACTCACAAAATGTGCAAAACGAGAAGTTCAACGAATCCTCCGCTAAAACATGGAAAGATACACTGGCATATTTTGTCTTTTGTGCATCTGGAGAGTAGTGGAGCTTGGCCCATTGCTTTGTGCTCTTGAAATCTCACACGGCAGGACTTTTTCACGCTATCTCTGGATTTATACTGCCGTCAGGTGCGCACGAGAAATGAATTCCAGACAGTTTGTATACATCAGGTGTCTATAGCCGCCGCCGTCATCAACAGAACGAACAGCTCTCACACCCTTACCCTCACAACCTCTCTCTCTCTCTCTCTCTCTCTCTCTCTCTCTCTCTCTCTCTCTGTGCAAGCTTCCTACAGCTATGGAGGGCACTGACAGTTGTTACCGCCCGTCAACTCTGTTTCTTTCTTTTTTTTTTTTTTTTTTTTTTGGAAAGCATTCTCGATATTTCTCACACTGACTGCCTGTGAGTCTGTGAGTCTGTGACTAGAACATCTGTTGTGCTTTTATATTGGACGATTCAACCTCCACCTCCAGGTCATGGACCATTTCTCGATTTATGCGTGTCATCCTTGAAAGAGCAGGGGGCATGCTAATTATACCCTTATCTGTATCGTTCCAATTTTAACGGATCTGTTTCCCGACTGACCACCTCCAGGTCTTAGCCCATGTTGACCGGCTTGGGCCGCTTGGCCTTCGAATTCGGATTTTCCGTCCGTGAAGTAAAATTTCTCTGAGCTTCCTGGGAGCCTCGGCTGCAGAGTGGTTTGTGACTTGTCAATGGGCCTCGCTGCACTACTCTCGAGAGTGAATCTTCGGGTAGAACATGGAAAGATACGCCGCCATGATTTTTTTTTTTTTTTTTTTTTTGTAAGTAATCCAAGGTTGCCCGCGTTCGGGACGGCGTTCGGGATGGGCCCCCGAACCCGAAC